AGTTTGGAGAAGGCCGGAGAAGTGAACAATCTAGGACAGTGGTGGCGAACCTTGGCACTCCAGCTGTGCCAAAACTACAAATCCCAACATGCATCTGCCTCTGGGAGTTATGTCTGTGGCTGTCAGAGCCTTGCAATGCCTCATGGGACTTGTAGTTCCAAAACAGCTGGAGTGTCAAGGTTCACCATCACTAATCTAGGAGAACAGAGCTGAACTGGAAAGTGAGCAGAATTGGAGAATTTTTCCAAATCCGCTATTTTGTCCTAGATTGTTCACTTCTCCGGCCTTCTCCAAACTCTTCACCCTTTTGTGAATCACCCTGTTAGTATTTTATGCCCTGCCTTAATCTTCCATTAGAAAAACCATCATTTACAAGCACAAGACCTATATGTACGTTCCCCAAGGATCCCACAATGCAGTGTCTTAGCCAATCGCTGCACATGAGAGCGGTTGTATAGGGAGCTGGGGGCATGCCTTACCCCTTCGCGACTGCTGGAAGGTTCAAGTCTCGAGAAAAGAAAAGGTGGTCATTAAAAGCTGCTGGAGGACTTTGTACACCGCCATAAATTAAACTTGCGTGAAAGTGAAGCCACCTTTTTAATGGAGCGCACTTCACGATAGATCCTTGGCTGTGAACGGAGTTATAAACTTTCTTTTATATTTCAGACTAGACTCCTTGGATCGAATAGCTACTTTGTGTTGGAAGATTTCCTAATTACACCACTTACATGAAAACAAATGCAATCCTCTGTTCAATAATCCATTTCATTACGGCACGTTAATGCAAGTCTTCATAGCTAATGTTGGACAAATTCAGTATAATTTAATTGCCCTATAAAGGGGATATTTTTTTTTTCCTCTAGCTAGTCTGCCTGTGGATTCTAAACCGGTTTTAAACCGATGCTCGAGTCACGGGGACATGAATTAGATGCGCGGTTAGATATTGGTGGATGTTGACCCGGTCACTAATATCTCATATGCTGTAAATGTCAAAGCTGAACGCCAGGAACCAAGTATTACGCATGATTAAATTGGTTGAGCTTGGCCAGATCTACATATTTTATACCTGAGCAGTCCACGGAGATCCTGTAAAGCACCTTAGTAGCCAGGTTTAAATCTAGCTAGATGTGTATAACAGCACTCGTGTACATTCTATGTATGTGACTGATAATAATCAGGCTGGGGGGAAGGTACTGTTTTTTTTAGGGATGCACCGATACCACTTTTTTAAGTCCGAGCACGAGTACCGATACTTGTTTTCAAGTACTCGCCGATACCAATTACGGATACTTTTTCTTAAAGGGACAGGTCCCATTTTTTCTAAAGCAATACAAAATCATGATTTTAGGTCAGTTCCTTAATATTATGAAGAACATGTACACTCTGTAGTGTGGCACAGCTATATCCAATTCTGCATACCTGGCTTTATATTATAAGAACTTTATAATATAAAGCCAGGTATGCAGAATTGGATACAGCTGTGCCACACTATACAATAATACACTGTTCTGGAGTCTGGACATGTGATCATCTATTTTCCCCACTATGGGGATACAAGCCTTAGTTAGCAATGGCATGATAAATATTCATTTCATTATTCAATGTCTTTTTTTTAATATTATAACAGATGGCGATGGTTCAGTTGATGGAGCAAAATGGCATACAACCATTTTGCTCCATCAACTGAACCATCGCCATCTGTTATAATATAAAAAAAAGACATTGAATAATGAAATGAATATTAAAGTTAGGTATTTGCATGAAGCAGTATAATAGAAATGTAGTAACTCACCGCGAGGTAATGGGTGAGGTGCTGTCATCGGCGGTGGATGTAGGTGGTGGTCCTCAGGCCTTTGTTGTTTCCGTGCCTATATGCTGGGCGTAGAAATTCCTGATGTTCCCAGTGGATTGCTGCAGTTGTGGTGAGGACCTAGACTGGGGTTGTGGGTGACTGAGGCTGCAGTTGTGGTGGGTATCTGGACTGAGGTTGGAGGTGAGTGCCTCTGATGCAGCTCGGGATGGCCGTGGGGGAAGAAGGTATTGTGGCCGTGGAGTGTTTTTTTTTGTATCTGAGTATTTGCACGAGTACGAGTACTCATGCAAATACTCGGTATCGCCGCCGATACCGATGCTTGTATCGGTATCGGTGCATCCCTAGTTTTTTTTTATTATTTATTATTATACAGGATTTATATAGCGCCAAAAATTTGCTCAGCGCTTTACAAAATAGTGGCGACAGTACAGTTAAAATACAATTTATAATACAGTTTCAGAACAATAGGATTGGGAGGGCCCCGCTCGTGAGAGCTTACAATCTAGTAGGAGGGGCAAATTATACAAAAAGTAATTGTTTGGATTCAGTTATTGGAAGAAGTAAAAGGCAGTTATGTTGAGATGAGATCGGCTTCCCTGAAGAGATGGGTTTTTAAGGATCGCCTAAAGGTGGGCAGCGTAGGAAATAGGCGGACAGAATGGGGTAAGACGTTCCAGAGGATGGGGGACACTCTGGAGAAGTCTTGGAGGCGAGCGTGGGAGGAGGTAATTCGAGAGCTAGAGAGCAGGAGGTCTTGAGAGGAGCGGATAGGCTGGTTTGGGTGATATTTTGAGATGAGGTCAGTGATGTAGGTTGGGGCGGAGTTGAAAACGGCTTTATATTGTACTGTACTGTTGCTTGAATCCCATCCCTATAGAGCATACAAGATAGCAAGCAAGTTCATAGGGCTTTAAGTGGCACAACCAAAAAACACTATCATAAAAAACATATTTTATTGCTTTATATTAAAACCTCATAAAACGTACATATACTGTATGTGCAAACAATGGTTGAAGCCTCCCAAGTGTAGCATTCAAACCATGCACAAATAATCATACATAACTTGGAATGTTGTTGTCCAATGGAAATATTTTATGGATGAATCCAAGACTTATTGGTGCACTGGCAGTGATGATCCTCTACTCATTTCCCATACATAGCTTCTTCAGGAGGAGGGAGAAAGATAGGCAAGCTGCAACTCCAATTGATTCATCTGATAGCATTGTAGTGTTAGGCGCCTTGCATATCTCCATGCGTCCTGAGTTTATTTGGTTGTACCATTGAAACCTGTCCCATGAACCTGATTGTTACATTTTATGGGGGTCTAAGCCATCATAAATGTTTCTGGGTGCCCAGATTGTGTCTGCTTCTTTTGGATGCTTGGTTACCTTAAAAAAGAAGTTCAGGATCGGAGCTGCAGAGTCACTGCGTTGAGGGGAGCAGGGGTACCATAGCCGCTGAGTCACTGCTTTAGGGTCCATTCACACCACATCCAGATCATCTCTGGTTGTGGGTTCACAAAATTTTCCGGACCAGATCTGGTCCAGAATATGGTGTGAACTTGCCGCAATTCCAGTGCAATCCAGACTAGACAAAAGAGACCTGCAGTATTTTTCTGGCCTAGTCTGGAATGGACTACGCTGGTGTGAACAGAAGCCAGGAATGGCATAGGGATACATTATGATGCATTTTGCGTCCGGAAACAGTCTGGTCTGGAGGTGGGCCCTTAAGGTCTAGCTTTTTGAGCCGAGCGCCTCAAAGTGTTTGCGCTGTAAACTCTGAGGACAATTTGCTCTACAGCGCCTGCAGCTACAGAGGTCAGTGAGCGTTTGTATTAAAGCTCATTTATGGCTCGTTAGGCATCTGTAAATCTACGAATGTCCATAGCTTCACAAAAGATTAACTTCAAGGCTCATATGACGACAGCCTAAAGCTGAGAAAATGGCATCTATCCACATTCTCTATTTACGTACATTACTCAGCACTCGCTGGATCCTGGCTGATGTATTACCATTTTTTTTCCCCCCATAAGGGTACAGCAAAGTAAAAACACATGTATTGATATTCCCACACCTTTATAGCGGTTTAGGTAATTGCATTTTCAGCAGCCTGTTGTGATTTCCACTTTATTCCCTCGTTATGCAAAACAAAACCCAGATTGAGAAATCCCTTCAGCCGTCTGATAAACATTGTGTACTAGGAGGAAAACCTGATGTCCTCGCAAATGGTCCCTGCCTGACGGAACTCAGATGCGATCCTGCTGTAAAATTGATGGAAAGCGGCATTGTTATTTTGTCAGGGTTGCTCATAAGTGACCGGCAGCGACCGCGCAGTAAATGTTTATTGCGTAACGTGTATTTTGAGAGAATGTGATCTACACAGATATGAGCAACCATCGAAGCATCGAAGTATATGTGTGTACTTCTAGCAACCCCTAGAGCCTTTAATATATGTGCCAAATCAAGCAAGTTTGCAAATTTAGTTGCCAATCTTGTTCCTGCTAAAATATACATATATTATTAACTGACAAACTGTCATGTTGCCTGTCTGAACGTGCGAATTGTGGCCGTCAGCGACTAGTCAATGTAAAGGCATAACGGGGGAGGGGCAAGACTGGTACAAGACAACAGAAGGGAAAGGGTGCAGTGTCAGATTCCTTCCATCACCTTTCATCATCTCGTGGAGTCACCAGGCGGCCCAACGAAGTACTGATGGCGGGGTCATAATAATCTGGCCACTCAGTGTATAATAAATCATTTATTGCTGTGGGTCCAAATTAAGAAATGCAATAACTTTTATAGAACTGATTTTTAACATTAAAACTCTAAAGCCCCACCCCCTGGGAAACCTTCCTCATCTCCTTTCTTTTTATAATTTTATATAGATTTGCTATACATAACACCTGCCCGCCACCGCTGGATTGGGTAGAGTGTACTGAGTGCGGTGCAATGATGCACCAAATGAAAGCAGGGTGAAACATAGATGGCTCACAATGTGCGCTGAACCCGCCAGAATATCTTGGGAGCAGGATACCCTTCCACATTGAGCATCCGCGTGAACAAGACCCCTAGCGCAGTATAGAGAATGTAGAGATGGCGTTCTACAGAATATATGTGAGGAGGTTCTAGACCCCGTTCAGGACGTAATAAATGCTGTAATTCTTTTTTGTTCTTCCTAACAAATGCAGTGCTGGACAGAAACGCAGACCCATAACCAAAGTGGTGTATAACCTTCTGTCGGAGCGAGACCTGCGGAAGAGGATGAAGGAGGTGGGACTGTCCACTCAAGGCACCAAGCAGCATCTGATCCGACGACACCAGGAATTTGTGCACATGTACAATGCACAGTGCGACTCGCTAAATCCAAAATCAGGTACGAACGTTTCTCTATTGTACTAATGCCAGTGAATTGAGTATCCCTTCAAAACACACACATGTGTACACACACTACTTCAGAAAATGATGCAACCCTTGAGTGAAGGTAAATCTTTGGACTTTACAACTTAAGCTCAGTTTATGGTAACATTGCCAGTTCTCTGGCTGGCTTGGAGGGACATGACGCAGTACAGGGCATGACGCAGTACAGGGCTTCTCAGTTGCCTGAGAACTTCAAGTCTTGGCATTTATGCTTGGCAAAAAGCCCACACTTCCAGAAGATGTCTTCTATTGGCTTAATGGAGAACTATGGGGTTAAGGCTTTTCCCCATAGTTCTCCTTAGGGTAATGGGAGGACACAAACTAGCGTCCTCTCGTCACCCTAAGCTCAGTATACCGCAAGCTACTGCTCGTGGTATACTGAGACGCCGCAGCTGAAGCGGATCCCGACAATTATGTCTGGATCCGCCCAGCTGCGTGAGTGACAGCTGGCTCTGCCCATCTAGAGGCAGAGCCAGCTGTACCCGCCCCCTCCCCCGTCTGTTCTGCCAGTCAGCGCTGGAGGATCGGAGCGGGGAGGGGGCAATCCAGCCCCTCCCCTGTCACGGCAGAGAGCCGTGACGGGATAGAGAATTGAGAGAACGCCGGTATGTGTTCGCTCACCTCCCGATCTGCTGAGCCGGCCTGTGACAGTCTCATTGTCACAGGTCGGCTAGAACTATGAGGTGAGTGAAAAGCACTCGCCTCATAGTTTTCCTTTTTATATATTTTCAGAGCTAGCTAAAGGAGTGAAGTCCTCCAGCAGACCATAGTATTTCAGGAGAGGAGAGTTGTCTGAGGGAGCAGCAGAGTCCTCCAGCAATGCAGGGTATTTCAGGAGAGGAGAGTTAGATTGAGGAAGGAGCAGAGTCTTCCAGCGGAGCAGAGTATTTCAGGAGAGGAGAGTTGGATAGAAGAAGAAGCAGAGTCCTCCAGCAGAGCATTTTAGGAGAGGAGAGTTATAGAGGAAGGAACAGAGTCCTGCAGGAGAGGAGAGCTACTGGAAGCAGCAGAGTCCCTCCTAGGAGAGGAGAGCTACTGGAAGCAGCAGAGTCCCTCCTAGGAGAGGAGAGCTACTGGAAGCAGCAGAGTCCCTCCTAGGAGAGGAGAGCTACAGGGAGGAGCAGAGTCCTCCTAGGAGAGGAGAGCTACAGGGATGTGCAGAGTCCTCCAGGAGAGGAGAGCTACAGGAAGGAGCAGAGTCCTCCAGCAGAACAGAGTCCTCCAGGAGAGGAGTGCTACAGGAAGGAGCAGAGTCCTCCAGGAGAGGAGAGTTAGAGGAAGGAGCAGAGTTCCTCGAGGAGAGTTAGACGAAGGAGTAGAGTCCTCCATGCCGCACAAAATATGATATAATGTTATGGATAACTGTGACCTGATGCTCATATCTTCATGTGGAATGTAACTTCCTCATCCCACATTCATACTTTACCCCTCTGTGAGCGAGTGAAGCCAACAATAAGTTGACTACAGAAGGTAAAGATCTATTTCATTATAACAAGTCCGGGATATCTGGACGTCCAGCTGCTGGTCTTATTACAAAATGTTGTCTGTCACTGTAGGGAGTTTGTCCATATTGAGTTTCGGGGGCCCCGCTGGTCGGCCAATGAACAAACCTACTGAGCAGAAACATTCTCTCTTGAAGGTGATATTCTGCGAGGAGCGCCCACTGGAAGCGCTCTGTCTCCGTGTCCTTGTCTTTCCTGGTCTGTCTGATGTTCCGGAGATAGTGAGGACACGCTCTGCAATGCAATGCTCTGCCGTACATATAAAGCTTTCATTGCCTTTTAATGTGTACTAATGCTACAGTGTAATGTTGTGAAGGTGGGAGAAGAAAATTGTGTTCCTCCAGCGATGACGATTTTAGTATTTTATTTAATTTTTTTTTTTTAGAAATGTCAAAACGCCTTAATTTTGATTGCTTGTTTCTATGGCAGCGCCTGTAGATTTGTAGAACAGTTATGCTGCACCTTCATTTATCAATTTTTATATTTGATCAGATTCAAGCATTCAATCAAATTTTGGCTTTCTTTTGGCAGTGCACCAATTTTGCATTTTTTTAATGTGTAGGTAATCCTGTCTCATGGGTATGTCTGTATTAAAGAAGAACTCTGGGATTTAAAAAAAACTCGCCCTTGCAGTGGGGCTGCCCCGGCATTTGCTTTCATTCAGTTCTATCAGTCGGGGGGCTCAGCATCACATGGTTGGTCTGCATGCAAATACAGTGCCTAGGAACGCCCACTCCTTCAGACTGATGTCCACACATCAAGGCTTTTTGATATTTGCATAACTCCTCCCAACAGCCAGCCCACTGCTTGCATCAGGGCTTAGAGGAGTACTGAGGCCGGGTGCTGTGATGTTTTTAGGAAGCTGTGTACAGCACCCTGCCAGGCCCCTCCCACCAGCCATGATCTATCTGTATTGCTCAGAGAAGCACATAGACTCAGTGATTACATCACAGGGTTTAACATAAGGTATGCAATGAAAACGGAAAGGTTTAATTTCATTTGTCATTAGAGTGTTGATGAGGAAGGGTGCAGGGAAGGCAAAATATAAACAGATTAAACTTCAGCATTAGTGAGTTGCATTGAGTCCTTTCAGCAACTCGTCATGCTTTTCGGTTTTTACATATCCTGCGTTGTAATCAGACCAAAGTTGCTTTTTAATCAAAGTCCTTCACGTCCTTCCATTCACAACGCGCGGCGGCGGCGGATGAGAATAGAGAACACAAAAGCAATTTATTTTCTTCTGATTGAAAAGTAAAATCATCTCTTTTGCGACTGACCTCTGTTGGCTGCGCATCGGCGGACCATTGTAGCGGCTTCTTCCTGCGAATTGTAAAAATCTGCTTTTTTTTAAGCATTTGCTGGCTATTTCTTCCACTGGTTTCTGCTCCAATTATTTCTCTTATGTCTGTCCAAGAAAATGTGGCGTGACTGTCCGATTGAAACATGACAAACAATTGCTTCATCCCGCTAAAGCTAAAAGCACACGTGTGTATTCCTCTCCCATTTGCAGAAATCACCACTTTTATCTAACTCTCTATCCCGATCAGCCATAACATTCTGACCATCCGTCTAATATTGAGTGGGTCCCCCTTTCCCTGACCCCTCTAGGCATGGACTCCACTAGACCTCTGAAGGTATGCTGTGGTATCTGGATGACCCCACCTAATACTGAGTGGGTCCCCCTTTCCCTGACCCGTCGAGGCACGGAATCCGCTAGACCTCTGAAGGTGTGCTGTGGTATCTGGATGACCCCCCCTAATACTGAGTGGGTCCCCCTTTCCCTGACCCCTCTAGGCATGGACTCCACTAGACCTCTGAAGGTATGCTGTGGTATCTGGATGACCCCCCCTAATACTGAGTGGGTCCCCCTTTCCCTGACCCCTCTAGGCATGGACTCCACTAGACCTCTGAAGGTATGCTGTGGTATCTGGATGACCCCCCCTAATACTGAGTGGGTCCCCCTTTCCCTGACCCCTCTAGGCATGGACTCCACTAGACCTCTGAAGGTATGCTGTGGTATCTGGCACCAAGCCGTCAGTAGCAGATCCTTTTAAAGGAGAACTATGAGGCGAGTGCTTTTCACTCACCTCATAGTTTTAGCCGACCTGTGACAATGACACTGTCACAGGTCGGCTAGAACTATGAGGTGAGTGAAAAGCACTCGCCTCATAGTTCTCCTTTAAGTCCTGCAAGTTGTGAGGTGAGGCCTCCATGGATCGGACTTGTTTTTCCAGCACATCCCACAGATCGATTGGATTGAGATCTGGAGAATTTGGAGGTCAAGTCATCACCTCAAACTCGCAGTTGTGTTCCTCAAACCATTCTTCAACGATTCTTGCAGTGTAGCAGGGCGCATTATCCTGCTGAAAGAGGCCACTGCCATCAGGGAATACTGTTTCTATGAAGGGGTGTACTTGGTCAGCAACAATGTTTAGGTCGGTGGTACGTGTCAAAGTAACATACACATGAATGGCAGGACCCGAGGTTTCCTAGCAGAACATTGACCAAAGCATCAAAGCACAACCAGTTGAGTTTTGCTGTACAGCAGGGATAGGCAACCCCGGCACTTGGGTTGGGTACCCCTGCTTGCCAGGAGCTGCAGGAGGATGATACCAAGTCAGATTCCTCTACTTACACTGCTTGTGTTAAAGAAATACATTTAATGACATATCATATATCATTGATACTGTATACAGATATACAGAGCTGCATTAATTTATGTGTTTTGTATCTACCTGGAGTTGAGCTTTTATAAGGGATCGTTTTTTGGGGGGGATTTTGAGTTATTCTGTGGAAGCATTAAAGGAAACGTAGAGTCTTACAGGGCCCCCATGGCTCACCCATTTTTAGAATACTGATTTCCTTGCTGCTTGAAGTTTCAGTACTTTGAGCTGCTGACCTGGAACAAGCATGCAGATTACAAAGTCCGAGTGAAGCCATATTTCTGATCAGCGTCATTTTTCCAGGTCAGTGTCCCAGAAAGTATTGAAGAAAGTAGACCAGGATGACGGCCAGATAATTATTTCCAGAAGTAGGTCAGCAGTTGTCAGGTGTGTCTGCGGGCAAGCAGCACGGATGGAACCCGCTGGCAGGAAGCAGCCTGAAAAGTCCGAAAGCAAGGTAACAAGGGGGAAATCCAAAAGGGGTAGTTGAGTCCAATCCGAGGTCGAGGCAGGCAGCAAAGGGTCAGAGGCGATAGAGGGTCCAAGGTCGCTACACGGGGAGTCAGCAGAGGGTTCAGGAAACTGGCAGCAAGGCACATAGGAGGGGAGCTTCGTAAGTCACACCATGAGGTGGAATAACTCAGCAATGAGCCAGGGCTCAGGCCAGGTTTTTATAGCCAGGGGGTGTAAGTCCGCCCCCCTGTCACCGAGGCAACCAATGGCAGGCGAGAGGTGTTACGAGTGGGCTCCAGGAAGGCCCACACCTGAGGTCTAAACCGGCGCAGACGCGT